CTGAATACGTCCATAATAGCTTGCTCAGTTGTTTGAAGGATACCCAAATTTGTTTCGAACCAACCGTGCTCCTCTGAAGCTAGAAAATATAGAAAAATAGCTCCACGGTAGCACTGATATCCAGGTACTGGCATACCATCTCAAAATCTTGAATGAACTCCAGAGCATTCGGGTGAAGCTGGGCAATGAACAACTCAAGGTGACAGAAAATTTCCCATTGAAAATTAGTGAAGGACAAACGATACCCCGCCTTCTTGAAAGCAAATTTGTACATCATAAACCTTCTCCCCGGATATACCGAGCATATCCAATCATTTTCCGTGGGGATAATCGCCTTCCAGATTGCAAGCGCATCCTTTTCCCGATCCTCAAGGAAAGTAAAAGAGTCGACTTCCTCCTCGGTGAACGTTGACTTTGTCACCAAGGGCTCTTGGGAATCCAGGTAAGATCCCCTTGAGCAACCCTGACATTGACATACTCGACATGAGGCACAAATTTATTGTTAGCTACCCCTATGTTGGGGACGGCCTCTTCGTTTCGACCATCCATTTCACCTAAAAAGTAGAGGAAGCAAAAGTGAATTCGACAACAGAAATTAAATCCACCCTTCAACCGCAAATCAAGTGAAAGGGCAAGGAATAAGTACGAGGACATGTCCTCGACTCAAGCCCTTGTCGACAGTAAAGGGACCTGGCGTAATCCCCTCCTCAATGAACGGGGACAAGTCTCCGTGACTCTAAAAGGTTCCAAGGGGGACAAGCCCCCCGTCGACAACCAAAACTTATCAGGCACACGAGAATAAATTCTCAATGTTAAGGAGGTCTACTGCCCGACCACGAACGTAAGTTATTTCAAACAAAAACAAAGGAATATCTACGGTCCTATGCAACATCCTAGATTCATGTTCTTTAGGGCCTTCATGAATTTCCCAGGAAATTCATGTGTTCATCAAAGAACACATGAACTTCAACCGGAAAACTCATGCTTCGTCGAGAAATTCAAGCTAGTTTCTAGAAAATTAAGAACTACCCTAAGTTCTTGCAAGCAAAGATGAAGAACTTACATGAATCAGAAGGTTGAAGATGAATATTTGGAGGGAGAAGAGGAGGCTTGACAGAAGCAAAGAGAACACCGGCGAAGAATGCGAGACAGTAATTTTTGCAGAGCAAAAGAGGTTGAGGAGAGAAATTTGCGCGAAGTGTGAAAATGAATCCTCGTTCCCCGTTTTTATAAGCATTTGCTCGCATAGAAAAGTGCAAACGCAGGAGTAATCATTTCCTAGCTAGACTATACCTCCTAGACCCTAACAAAAATTGATTACACCATTACGTATCAAAAAGGGAATCTTTCGGATGGCATTCTCAAGGTTTACCTTTTACATTCCTCAGGACAAGTCCCTCTAGATTCCCGCAGGCATATCCACCTCGACAGGGCACATGATATCATCTAAGGAGAAGCCTCATCGAGACGATATTTCTTTACCTTAAGCGAAAGCCTAGTCGACGTAAAACATCCCTTCCGCGACCACGTCCTCGCATCCCAAGGAAGACCACAAGCAATCAACGATCGACCACACTAAGACGATTGATGGACACGTCCCCGAAGACTTTCGTTCGAATAATGAGGACCTAAAAAAGCCTCCCAGCGATGCATTTTCTGCCCATCGGTCGACCATCTAGGCTAACTCAAGTCATTACTCATCACCTTAGAGCAACAACTTGAGGGGCTCTTGTTCTGAACTGGACTGGAACATGACCCATAGTTGGGCAAGGCCCAATCCAGTCCAACTTTAGGCAAAGCCTAATAAGGAGATTAAGACTATCTAGCCATTAGGCACAATATAGTCGTTAGGCACAACATAACCGTTGGGTACAATATGATCGTTGTGCACAATATAGCCATTATAGAATATAGTCGTTGGGAACATCCCATCACACGCTTGACAGTTCACGCGACCAAGTGCCCCTTCAGAATTCATGGGGACAGTTGGACCATGTCAAAGATCACGCGTTAGATCTTCCACCTGTCAATCTCCCATTGGTCGACCAGGTATTTTGGCCACATCGGAGACCTTGGCCCCGTACTGAGGCATTCTCATAAATACCCTCTCACTTGAAAGGGTCAGGTATTCAAATCATTCTAACTCATACCTAAACACTTGTACTCGCTCTCTCTCTAGCCCAAAAACTTACTTTGGCATCAAAGTACCTTGTAGATACACCCCCTCCTCTCCTACAACCATTGTTGTTGCCCTACATTGAAGGCTACGACGATCTATTCTGATCACACCAGATCAAATAACAATTCCAACTTCTCGAGTAAATCATTTAGAATAAATCTCCCTTTCATTAAATCAACTCTAAATATTGTAATAAAGAAATAAAAAAAAATCAAAATCTCTTGTTTAAACATATTCAATTAAGATATTCTCCATGTATGATTTAATAAAATCATTTTCAAACTGATTTGGATTAAAAATACATCTTTCTAAACGAAACTTCAACAAACTTTTAGAATGATTAAAACTGAACAATTCTTGAAATAAATCTGAAGTACATGAGAATCCAAAATGTGTAGCACGCACACCAAAATGTCAAACAACATGTTCCAGACATCTTGTTCAATAAGTTGCTTACAACCAAATATTTTTGTCAAGCAACTTTAGCAGAAACTTTGACATACTGAACCAACTCTTGCAATATCCTCTAGAATCAAACACAGAACCATAAGGGAAGATGTGTTCAACAACTTTCACGAAATCTTGTTTTCCATTTTTCTTATAAAAGTAAGACAATAATAAAATAATAACATCTCTCATTCATCATATATATCTAACGGTAATAACCATGTAGTCATCATTGTGAGCGTGGATGACAGATGTGCCCTTCTTAGAGAAAGCGATTGTGGCTTCTAGCACCTTCAGACCGCTTTCACCTTCAATGTTAGGGCGGTCTTCTGTATTTAAAATTTAGATAGTGTACCTTCTACGGGTGACACTAGTTTCCTCGCCTCCGGTAAACCCTCCTACAATAATATTAAGCAAGAGGGATACAAATTTGATGTCCTTGCCTTAGGATGCCTTATTCGCCTTACTTACACTACAAAAAAATTTTTATATACCCACCGCCACACACTCGTCAATAATTTTCTAAGTATATACGGTTTAGCCATCAGCAACTCGTGAATACCTGAGACAATATCAATTATATTTTTTAAACATTATCCATGACCGAGCCTTAAAAAATAACCGCGGTTTTGCACCTTCCATAATGACCCACAGTGGAGCCCTCAGTATAGTTTTAATATCATACCAACAATTATAAACTTATAAAGAAAACTATTATGAATTTATATTAAAACGAATACTAAAATTTTTAATTTAAAAAACTAAAAGAAAAAATTAAAATTATTAAAAAAATACTTTTATGAATTTATTTTAAAAAATAATTAAGAGATATTTTTAAGTAATCAATATTACAATTATAAAAAATTTAAACACTTATTTTAAAACCACTTAAGAACTATACTATTAACCAATAACTTTTTTTTATTATAAATTAATAATAATAATAATACTTTTAAAAGGTTCAGATGTCGATGTCGAAGTGTTACATGATGTAGTCGAAGTTATTTCTAGTATGTAATGTCGAAGTGTAATGTCGAATTGAGTCTTGTGTTATAGATCCAATTGCTTAGGTTAACTTATTATTTAAATTAAATTAATAGCCTATAAATAGGCTAGATCTTTCAGGTTGTTGAAAAAGATCAATTATTATTATTTACTTGTAATCATTTATACCTTAATTAAGTAAGTGAATAGAAAAACAGTTTGTCAAATCCTATTCTGCTTTTTTCTCTCTCTTTGTTAACCTAACAGTTTTATTGTTTATCAAAAAATTTTCATTTTTCAAATATTTATTAGTTAATTGATATAGTTTGTCACAACACTATTTAACTGCAAGAGAACTTGGTGGTTCAGTCATATGAGTTTTATGGTTGTCATGACACTTTCATAGCCAATCATATTTGTTGTAGATCTTAATAGATGTATAGGATATCTTGGTGATTAAGACAAGTTACATTTTGATCCAAATAAATTTAATAGTGAGATGTTTCGTGGATTTAATTATGATGAATTGATGATATCCACTGAAATTAATATCTTTTAACGAAAAACTTGACGCGGAAGATTCATTTGAATTAGATTTCTATTCTACTTAACGAATAGTCAATAGATTATTGTAAAACAAAAAATTTATGTCGTAATTTTATTTGCTTTTATTTGATAATTTAATCTCTAATAAATCCTTACGTCTTAATTATTATTCTAGATTATGATGTACCGTATAATGAATCTCTAATGATTATGATGTTCCATAATTAATGAGGGATTGAGTTATCTTGACAGGAGTGTGATTGAGGTCTCTTTTAGTAAGCTCAAGATTCAACTCACTTAAACTTTTACACATAAAAAAAATTATGACTGTTGAATACGTCTATTGCTCTAAAGCAAGATAATAGGATTTTCTTTTCATTTTAAAAAGAATGCTCAATTTCTTGGTTCTCTACCTATATTATATTGGGAAAAGCATAACCGTGGATGAGAAAAATGCAGCAAAATCCTAAAACATCTACTATGCTAAGATTAAATTCACGAAATCAAATCTGCGGCCAGTTAAAATTTGCTGCATTTACGAATTTGACATTTTTCAAGTTGTTGGATCAAGATCAAATTGTTTAAATTTAAATATAATTTTTAATTTATATGAAATAAAAATATTTAACTGTTTGATGATTTTGATATAACAACCGTAAAAATACCAAATGCATGAATGAGGCGAATTAATCTCCTCTTTATGTCATTATTCTCTTAATTTTCTTAATTTTCTTTGTATAAGCAATATGCTCAATATACAATTCACACCATCCATTATTTTAAATTCAACATATATAAATGAACACGAATTCAAACAAGTAAATCACGAGAAAGGAACTAAATTTTAATAAATTGGAACTAAGCTTTCAACATAAGCTTTGAAAGATTGCCAACATATCCAACCTTCCTTGCTAATTTTTGTTCGCTCTACTCTGTTATCTCTCCAACTATAGAGAATTGCTTGATCTTCTTTATTGCTCTTAAGCACTAGTGTGTCACCATCTTTAGAAAGCAGCAAAGGCATCAATTGCAAAAAATACTTTGTATCGTCATTAATATCATAATCTATTTGAAGATTTTGATAACTTATTTTAAGAAATTGAGTCCAAGAATCTTCAACCCCAAATTTCTTCATCTGCCATATAACAAAATCACTTTTCTTATAAGAATAAGAGAAACAGAGAAAACCCCCCAAAACACCTATGGTTGGTTCTGAAGGTGGCACTTGGTCAAAACCACGAGGCACAAGATATTGATTGTACATCTCAGTCCTCAAATCAAGAGAAACAATAACAAAATCTTCAACGGTAATATTCTTAATAATATACCTATGGTAGTCAATGTTGTTGTGAATTGCCAACCAGTTAAGAGCACCACTCAAATACACACCACTATACACACCATCATAGATTTTGTATTCAGCATAGTCCAAATGAAGAGGAACAACAGGAAAACTTTCAATGTCTCTCCAAACATCATCATCCAAACTAAGAATTCTCACCTCAGTTGTCCGCTGATTACGAATGTAACGGGACGCCACCACTTTATAAGTGTTTGTTGAATCATCACAACCAAACGCAAAGCGGAAAGGTTTTTCAAAATTAAAACACCCAATTTCTTTCGATATTGTCTTGGTAGCTGGATTCCACAATCGAAACCAGAACTCTTTATAGATACCGTTGAAGAAATCACCGGTCAAAAGAATCAACCCATTACAGGAAGCAATTACTTTAGAGCTTCCTTTGTTTTTCACATAATAGTAAGGATCGTCAAAAAGGGATACTGCGGGATTATCGAGTAAGGTACGTATGGGATATGGAACGACACTGTAATTCTCTTCGTAACTAACGTAAGGAGACTCTCCAGGAAAAGTCTTCATGTGATGCGTGACTAGTGTGAACATCGGATTTTGTGTTGCAGATTTCTTGAGGTGCAATTTGACGAAGGTGGAATCGGAGATGAGAGTTCTCCAAGAGTTACTCACACACTTAAATCGAACAAGAGATTTGACAGGAAGAAAGGAAAGTAATTCGGTGATGAGATCTTCGGGAAGGAAAATCGGCGGCGAAGGATTCATTGTAGAGAGATGCAGTGATGTAGTTGATTATTTGCAATCAACCCAGCGCCGTTGTGGTGAAAGGTTGAAACCTAAAGAAACTAATCATGAGGTAAATAAATATGAATCCATGCAAAACAAAACAAAATATACGGAGATAATGTTACTCACAATATATTACGCCTATGCCTATGATGAAGGAATTTGGTTGTTTATTTATTAGGGTTTTGAAAATATTTAACGGATTTCTTATTCTGTTTTCAATTTAGTTTTCGGAAACTACTTTTTAAATAAATTTTTAAATGAAATTAAAATAAATATATGTTTGAGGTTTTTTTAAAACTTGGTTTAAAGATGAAAAGACTTATTTAATATATTCGTTTCTAGAATATAATTTGTAAAAATATTTAATATTTTTAAATGGAATTTGTTTATGATTATATAAAAAATCTAGGTATTTTTACTGTCTGAAATAAAGCACTTCTAAGAGAAGTCAAGATTAAATTTTTATTCCATTGAAATAAATAGAAAACATAGATTAAAGATTTAACATTGGACTTGTTTAAATATTAGTTGAAGACCAAGAAATACGTGGATAGGATAATAAAATTTAAGATCGGACTTATTTAAATATTAATGAAGAAAAAGTAAGTCGATAGGATAATTAAATTTAACTTTTTCATGAATTAAATCCTATTTTCATTCAATATTATTTTAACTTATTAAATCCTATTTTCATTCTATGTTATTTTAACGTAGTTTTCAAACAAACAATTTGACTAGTTTATTTATTATAGAAATTATTTAATTTTATTTTTATTTTTAATAAGAAATGTAATTTCATTCACAAACGAATATAAGGGTGTACTCAAACCTAGGACAAACACAACAGCGGCGGAAATATTACATCCGCTTTAAACAAGAAACAGGTGTAATATACCATTCAAAAAAAGAACAATGGGCAAAAGATCTAAGTTCAGAACATACCTATTTCCATGGCTCGAACTGAACTGAATAAATCAACTCCGAAGCATTGAAAACCTTATTATTGAAAATGCAATTATATAGGTCCCTCCATATCACCCACACCACGATCAGCCAAATAAAAGAACCTTTAACGGTTCAAACCTCCTTGCCCAAAATATTAGAAAACAACTGGACAAACTCAACTGCACAACAGTTTTATAAACCCGACTCCATACCAAGCCACCTTTCCACTCCCCTCCATACATTCTTAAAATTATTGTAGGCCAAAAAGAAATGCGAAAAAGATTCAACAAAACTATATTACACAACACATAATTCAAATAATTACCTCCAAAATTGATTCCTCCCCTAGCCAACTGATCCTTAGTTGCGATTCTGTCTAAAAAAGCCTCCACGAAAAAATCTGCACTTTAGAGTGGACAATATCATTATCTAAAGAATCATGTTGACTAGCTTGCAGCAGCGCCGTCTAACAAGAGCTGACAGTGTAAACTTCCTTATCCTCTATAATCCAGACAAAAGAATCGACGCAGTGCTTGTCGCTACTGCGAAAATAAGGTGCCGGCAAAGACAGAAGAGTCGCCACCTTTCATTATTTATCCCACAGGAAGGGAAAGAAAACGATCGGAACAAACCTAACGAAAAGGAAAAGACAAGGTCATCGCAACCAAGTCTGGGCTCGGGAGTCGGTTACGCAAGGGAAAGGTATTAGCACCCCTCACGTCCGTTGTACTCAACGGGATCCACGCTTGTTGTGTTTATCTGACGGGTTGGTTTAACTATCTACCTATCAAGGTTGGCTCAAAAGAAAAAGAAAATTGACTCGGCAAAGCTTCGCAGCTTCGTGCCTACGTATTCCCGTCTAGAACGAGAAATCAGAGTCAACGTAGTTCGGCTAACTACGGGTGAGGGGAGAAGGTTGCTCGCCAAGACATCGTGTCTTGTGCCTACGTACTTTTATCTGGTATGAAAGATCAGAGCGAACGTAGTTCGGGATAATGAAACACGGGTTTGATTCATCTGTTTTTATCCGAGTAGGGTTAACAAACAGTTCCAACAGTTTGGTGTATGCAGCTCGCTCGTCGGAGACTCGTGCATTACCGTTTGCGGTAGAACTGAGAGTTAACGACACTCTTTTTCTGAAAATGTTTTCCTGATTAAGAGAGCCCACAGGGCAAAAGGAGGTTTGAATGTTGGTTTTTAGTCTTTTACGAGAAGAAGTGTTTTTTTATGAATGTTTGTAATTCATACTGCACTAGAGACTATGACTTAGGAACGAATGCGTCGCACATCGTCCTACGGACGTGGGCTAAACACTCTAGACGATTGAGAGAAGACCGCTCAATTGTCATTTCCCAAGTGGCTTAAGGCTCGTAACATACGATACTCATTAGCCTTTATTAGATGTTTTATTGTGGTTTGAAGAGAGAAGAGAAAAGACTCTACAGGGAAACTATCAAGCACTAATGTTATCATGCAATGGATTCATCCTATGGTTGAGTTTGAAGGGGAATCTATCCTAGATGTTGTCATGCATGGATTCAACCTAAAGTTCTATCATCACTCCTTAACCAAGGAAGTGAGAATCCTAAGGGAACATGCAAAAAGGGAAAAAGAAATACAGTTATCAAGCAGGTGAAACATAAAGTAACTGGATGCATATGCAATGCAACATTACAAGCAGAAGGAGGAAGCCTCAACTTCTAATGCAAACATGGGATGCAAACAAAGATGCACAGAGAAAACACACAAGCAAAGGGATACAAGCTCAACCTTTAATGCAGTCATGCACTTAAACAAAAGTATTCTACTCATGCAGTTCTATCCTAATGCAGCAAGCAAATCAGTCAAACAGGAGGGAGAGGTGTAAACAAGATAAGTAATAAGGAAAACATCCCAGGCTACATCAGGTTCAGAGGTGTGCTAACACAAGAGTCCATTTCAGGTTCAACCTCTTGAGGAACGCACAGAATCCAACCAAAGGAAGGATTAGACTCTCACAAGAGGGATCCTAAGAATGTAGGACAGATAAGACTGGGGGAACCTAGATGTCAATCTAGGGTATCTGGTTAATGTGTATCAACACAGAATGTCCATCAAAGGCTCAACCTGTTGAGGAATGCACAAAATCCAACCAAAGGAAGGATTAGGCTCTCCCAAGAGGGATCCTAAGAAAGGAACTTAGAGAAAGAAGATAGTATAAACCAAGGGAATATACTATGCTAATGAATGTCAATCCAAGGCTCAACCTCTTTAGGAATGCACAGAATCCAACCAAAGGAAGGATTAGGCTCTCCCAAGAGGGATCCTCATCAAGACTAGGAGGAGGAAGATAGTGCAAACCAAAGGAATGTATTATGCTAATGAATGTCAATCCAAGGCTCAACCTCTTGAGCAATGCACAGAATCCAATCAAAGGAAGGATTAGGCTCTCCCAAGAGGGATCCTAAAGATAAGACTAGGAGGGATTGGAATGACAAGGCAAACTCAAGCAAAGAAGTCACACAAGGGAGAGAAAACAGTCACAAAACTTCCAAAGAAACCTTCAATGTTTTAGCTCTAAGGAAAGTTCATCCTAAGGGAACTTAAAGGTATGTTAAGGACTTGAAAATGGACCTAAAAATGTGTCAACCTATGTACTAAGGGTTAATGGGAAGATTGGATGCTTAAAGTTGGCTAAAAGTTCATTTGTTAGGCCAAACTATGCGAAGGTGCAAGTTGAAACATGCAAACATTGGTCAGAATGCAAAATATGGGGGAAATAGGAAATCAATTCTAAAAGATCCTAAGAAAAATCCTAGATGATCCTAAATGTGTTAAGGGTCCATGGTAAAAGTTTCAAGTCCAAACTATAAGCCTAAGGCCACTAACTAGATGTTAAACCTAGATGTATGCTATGGGAGATTCAAATGGGGAAGGTCCTAGAAATCTATCTCAAAACCTATTCAAATGGAATCTAAAAAATGCAAGAAAAATACTACAATATTCTACAATGTGTCAACCAGCATCACACAAAAAATTAGACACTTCTATGGATTATTGAAAGAGAAAGAAAATCACAAAGCATAGCATGTAATTTTTCAATTATTAAAAACACATTAAAAGAGGAAATATGCAATTAATTGAAAATTGCATTAAAACTGAAATTAAAAAATATGACAAAATTTTAGACATATTAAACCACCTACATGATTTTTTCAAGATTTATTGGCATCATTTAATATTTTTTATGAATTAAAATGAAACAGCCATCAAATAGAAAACAAAAGAAAATGAAATTAAAAAGAAAAGACTAACGGGTGCAGTTAGTAACTTCGCGCGTTTTATTTCGCTTGGGCCGTAATAGTGAGGGGTGTGGTTAGCAAATGGGTCTTAAGCCCAGCTGAGTTTCCTAAGTGAAACTCAATGTTTTGAATCATGCCAAGGCCATTCGCTGAAACACGTTCGCAGCCGTGCGATGGGATTACGGATTCAACCTATCCGCGTGATCGGACGGCCAGGAAGAAATCTGGCAGTTTAAATGGCCAAATAGAGGGACTCGCTCGCGGTGGGGGGTGGTGGCTGGAGAAGATTCCGGTCATCTTCTCCGGCGGTAAGCTACAGTACCGGATTTCAAAACTTAACAAAAACTTAAATTTCTTATACCATTCTCTTAGTCTTGCTTCCTAGATCATGAATATCATATTCTTTTTCATTTTTATCCAATAAATAAGGAGAAATGCAAGCTACAAGCTAAGGTGCCATTTCCTAAAGTTTCAAGAAACTTAACCAAACTATTCCTAAAATCTTCTACATATCCTAAGGAGTGTAAATCCATGAAAATGGCACTAAAATTCCTCAAGAATAGAGAGCATGGATAAGAAATAGGAACCTGGTTTTGAGCTTCAATGGAGGTTTCAATTGGCAATGGTTCTCACTCCAAATGGTGCAGAAAGTTTCAATGGATCATCTCCAAGCTTCTAGCAACCTTGGTTTGGCTTGAATGTGTGTAATTCTCCAAAAACGAAAATCAATTTTTCTTCACTTTTTCTCCA